TCAGTTGACACAAAGTACATTAACTATATAATGGACTATACCAAATTTAAGAAATCTGGATCATTAAAAGATATTAAGAAGAATATGTCTCGGAGTGCAAGAAAATATTTCTTATACATATTATTCAACAAAAGAATCATATCCAGATAGAGATCTACAAAGCAATAAGATAAAAAAATGGACAAGAAATGAAGACACCTCATAAAATATAGCAAAATGAACAACAAACATATGAAAAGGGGAAAAGGGAAAAAAACAATATGAAGTACCACTACATATCTACTAGAATGGTTTAAATTATTAATTAGAAGACTAACAATACCAAGTATTGGCAAACGTGAAGTAACTGAAGCTTGCACATGCTGGTGGTACTTATAAAAACAAGCTTAACCACTTTGCAAAAACAGTTGTCATTATGTTCTAAAATAAAACATAGGCATATCATTTTCACAGTTGGGTATGTATACAATGGAATTGCATAAACGAGAGCAATAGAAAAGGTACACACTCAGTTCTACTATACCGTTGTTTTGAAAGTGTAAACTTGTTCCAACACAACTGACATATTAGGGAACAAAAGGAACATAACACAAATTTCATGTTTGCTTATGCTCAGCCTTGTCCATGAGAAAAGTGTACCCAGATGAAATGAGCCACATAGGAATATGCAAAATATACACATATCAGACTTTAGTTCATTGAGTGCTATGTGTCACACTCATCCACATCTGGTGTTACAACTTTCCATCCAATTTCAGGTAACTCCCTATGCCAGCACTTCACAATAACTCACAAACTGCAACCCTGGAACATACTCCCATAGCAAACAAGCAAGGTAAAATGTCATATTTATTATAATATTTATGTATTTCTTAATCATTTAACATGTGTGAAATTGTGCTGCCATTTTTGCTAGGTCTTATCTTTTTTTTACATATGTCGCCAAATTTTGAGTCCCTAACCCCATTTTTTCCATAAGCTTTGTGGTTTTTATTGCATAATTATATATAGAGTGGTGATTTTTTTAAAGTCGTATGTATTGTACCATAGCAGAAATGACTGTAAAAGAATATTCGAAGAAGCACTAACTCAAAACTGGAAACAACCCCAATACCTATCAATAGAATGGATAAAAACACTATAAAACTATATATCATACAATAGAATATTATACAGCAGTAAGAATGAAAAAACTTCACCTCAGAGGTGAAATTCACAATATAAGAAAAAAGAAGCTAGACACAAGATAGTATATACTGTATGAATGTTAATATATAGTTTTAGAAGAGGCAAAACTAATCTATGGTGTTAGAAATTAGGATGGTTCTCTTCGAGAGAGAGAGAGTAGGTAGTGAATAGGAAAGGTACAGGGAGACTTTTGGCATACCGGTATGTTTCTTTTTTTAATTGAGACATAATGGATATACCATAAAATTCACCAAAATTTAAAGTGGATAAGTCAGTGTTTTTTTGTGTATTCAGAGTTGTACAACCATCATCACTATTTAATTCCAGAAACCCTTAGCAGTCATTTCATCTTCTTTGTCTTGACCTAGTGTATTCACAATGCAGTAATTCATCAAGCTATATGTTTATGATTTGTGTACCTTCCTGTACAGATATTACATAGTACTTCAGTAAATTTTTTAAGTCAACATTTAGAGGACTTCAGATTAAACCTGGTAGGCCAAATATATGCTTTTAACTCTACTATATCCTAAATCTCTACTTACACTAGGTGGATTATTTTAAAGCATTAAATTACAAAGTCAAAGAAAAGGGAAAGGAGATATCCTCCCTATACCACTCAGTCAGATAATTTCCCTCCCCCAAAGATGAACTCAGAAGGGCTAAAACAGGGGACCTAGAGATAGCAGGTACATTACTGAAAGCAGACAAAGTGCATATACTTGTAGACATACCTAACCTCTCACTTTATTTTCTTTTTACAGTCATACTATACCTCCTGATAGGCAACTTGCTTTCAATCATTTAAATAACAAAAGTTTTCTTTTATAATTTTATATAGACTATATTTTTGTGTGTGCTATTTTATACTGTATTAAGTAGCTGTACCATAATGTAGTTATCCAGTTTCTTACTGATAATCATTTAGATTTGTTTCCTATTGGTTTTTATTAATATCACAGATAATATTGCAATGAACATGCACATATATCTTTTAATATATAGCAATAATTTGTGTGAGTACATTTGTAACATGCTAGATCAAAGGATATGAACATATACTGTCAAGCTGTCTTTCAAAAAGTTTGGACCACTGTACTCTCCTACCAACAGAGTAGGTAAGAGTTCTTCACATTTAATTAATCTTTGACAATCAAAATTAAATATTGTAATTTAATTTGCATTACTTTTAAAGCAGGGTTGAGCATCTCTTCATAGGCTTACTGGCCAATTTGTATTCATTTTTCTCTAAATAGCCCATTCACTTCCTTGGGTCACTTTCCTACTGTATGTTGGCTCTTTTCATATTGAGCTATAAGAGGTCTCTTGAGTTGAGAAGATTGGAAATTAGTCCTTTTTCATAAATGTGACAAATTTTTCCCCCAGTTCATCATTTCTCATTCGTTTACCGTATCTTTCAAGATAGAGAAGTTGTATAATCAAAGTTTAAACAATCAAACTTTGTGAAGGCCACAAAGAAATTTTACAAAGTCAAATTTCACTATTAACCTTTTACTTTTTCTAGGCTTTCTTTGTTGTCATGCTTTGAAAAGCTTTCCCTATCCAAAAATCATTAAAAAGTTTATTATTATAATGTTATTATTTTTAACCTTTGAATCTCTGATCCACTTGAAACATATTGTACCATTAGGAATAAAATTCATATGTTGAAATTCTAACCCCCAATGTGATGTTATTAGAAGCTGAGGCCTTTGGAAGGTAATTAGGTCATGAGGTTGGAGCTTTCATGAATAGGTTTAGTGCCCTTATAATAGAGACCCCAGCATGCTCCTTCACCCCTTATTCAATGTGAGGACACAGCGAGAAGATGGTCGGTCAGTCATTTATGAACCAGCAAGTGGGCTCTCACTAGACAATGAATCTGCTGGTAGCTCAATCTGCCACCCAGTCAACAGTATTCTGTTGTAGTGGTCCAAAAGGATTAAGACAGGATAGTGTAGCCTTTCTTTTGTACTTTCTCATTAAATCAGACAATTTCTCCTACTCCTATTTGCATCTTGCTTCCCTTCAAATACTCTTCTATACAATCTACAAAAGAATTAGGTTTGTTTTTATAAAAATGACACATTATTTTTAAAAAGTTAGAGTATAAATAAGAAAAATATCCCCATCACCCAGAAACAATCATTAATATTAAACAGACATTATTCCAAACATCCCCACTAGGCATATATTCAAAGGACAGACACACCAAAAACAAAAAAAAGTTCTATAAATATATCTTTAAAAATAAATGGTATTAATTTTACCACATCAGAAGAAACAGGAGAAACAGAGTTACATGTGGATCAAATGTCTCTAGGATAGTTTAGACGGGACCAAAACACTACTAATTGCTTGCAGAACTGTCTACTTATTTAACCTTAATAAAAATTTACTTTTACTGGTTACAGTGAGCCAGCCATTATCTAAAAATAGGCAAAGTGACAATAAGAACTCTATGCTGTAAATTACAGCTCACATCATAAATCAGAAAATTGAAAAAAAGTCAGTAATTAAATAAGAAAGTCAATTCTCTTAAAATTTAACATGTTTTTACATAAGCAATTTTTTTTTATCCTAGGACCACAATAAATGTGGAATAGAAACTGTACTACCGGTTAACATTTTAAAAATCTATTTGAAATGGACTATATCGTAAGCACGAATCAACTAAAGGGAACAGAAATTGAAATTATCCAAGAGAAAATGATTAAAAAATAATAAATGAGGAAAATAGGGATACATAGACAATACTACACTAGAATCTCTAATCAAAGAAAAACATAAGTGTATATCAGGTTAGTAAAGAGAACTTTGAACTGGGTGTTAAGAGGTCTGAAATTCAAAGACAAACTTGCCCAAACGAGCTAAATAAAGTGAGTCAAATCATTCATTTTTTTCTGGATCTCAGTTTCCTCATCTTTAAAATGAAAGGGAGGGATCAGATGTTCTCTGATTTTTCCTGCTCTAAAATTTAATAATTCTGTTACTTAATATAAAAGAAAACTGAGAAACTGTCTCCTACATTATCAAAGGGCTTTCTGGTTACTGCTTACCACTACTTTTCCCTGATTTTATTACTCACCAAACTGAAGATGATTCAATTTTCCAGGCAGTTCTCTAGTACTAACTAGAAGGGGCTAGAATCAAATTCAGTCAACCACCTTCAAATGACTAATGTTTCTCAAACGGAATCCTCATTACAAAATGCCTCAAATATATTATGTGTTCTCTAACTACCAGCAGCGATATATAACAAAAAAGAACATTAGTAAAATGGTTCTGAATGAAAACTCAAAGAAATAGTTTTAATTACAGAAAAATATAGAAACTAATGCTGACCTTTAGATTTATTGATCAGTCTTCTAGTGAGTTTTAATAACACAATCCTTCAGGCCAATAAACAGAATCCTTAGGATAAATGTAGCAACTAAACTGCTCAGGACTACAAAACTATATTCAATTTCTAAGGAAGAATACCAGAGCAAAATCATCTTTTCAAAGTACAGTTTCTAATTAGCACACAAATGGAGCCTCACTGAGGTCTATCTTACAAAGTATTTTTCAATAGTCTAAAGCAAGTACTTCAGACCTCAAACCATTCACATTTTAAAACAGGGGCACCAGAAATCCTGAGATTTTCTTTTAAAAATATTTTTAACCTTATTCTCTTTATTCCATTATAAATGATAATTCCAGAAAATATCCATTTTAATAAAATGAGAAAACAGAGTAGCCCCAGTAACTTAATCACTAAAAAAACAGCTTAAGAAAAACTTTATTTTATTTTATTTTTTTTAAGATCTTACCTCTACACTAGGGCTAAGGCTGCTTGGCAGTGTTTCTGAAGTCACAGTAGTACTCGGAAGGCTGGAAATTTCCCAAGTATTCACATGCTGTATTGATTTAGACTGCTTTGAACGATCTATACATCTTGGATTATCCAGTAAGGTCACTTCATAAAATTCTTGAATATCTAGAGGTGAGGGGGGAAAAAAAGAAAAATTAAAAAGTATTTATATTTTCTAATTAAACCATGCATTGCTAAAAACAACATAACCCAAAAGCAATTTACTCTAGATTAGTAAAATAAATCCAATCTTAAACTTTAAACAGTAAATATTTTCTCATTTTATTTTGTCACAAGCGTATCAGAACCCGCAGGGCACAGTGTAAAAGTCATAGGCTTTTTACACTTCAAAGCAGAGCTGAGTTCAAATCCCACTCCTTCACCAATTAGCTACATGTTTAGGCCTCTAATGAGGCCTCTTACCATTGTGAATTGTTACAAGGATTGAGTGTAATACATGTCAAGTACACAATGGCCCATAATAGGCTCCTAACAGAGAGCAGCTAGTATTATTATTGTAAATTATGCTGACATGAGTCATTATTGATATTTTATATCTTTGTAGCACCAATATCCAGGCTGAGAATATAAATCCCTCAAGTGGTTTTAACCGTTCTTCTAAACAAGGTGTAACAAAACAAAAATAGTAAGTTAAAATAAAACTGAAGAACTGGTACTATTTTTAGATATCTCTAGTCTGAATATTTACAAATAGTAAGTTAAATATTAAAATAAAATCGAAGAACTGGTAGTATTTTTAAATATCTCTGGCCTGAATATTTAGAAACAATAAGTTAAATATTTTATATTATTTTAGAAACAATTTGCTAAAAATATGAGAAAACTCTAAAAGAAATCATAAATAATTTAGAAGATCAAGTTACTTTGCCATCAGTTGGAATTATATAAACTTGGTATATTAACACTGGTTACTCATGCTGCTCAACAGCTCTGAACAGTAGTTATATAATGTTTAAGTTTACCACTGTTAGTTATTTGTTAACCTACTGGTATAATTTTGAGTTGATTTTTACAGGAAGGAAATTATTTATCAGCAAAGGTGGGCATTATCCTGTAGAGAATCATACACAATAACCATAAATAACATAGATGCAATAACTTTTACTTGTTTCTCAGTATAATGAAAATATTAGTATCTCCCTTAAATGTACTAAGACAGTAGGAACAAAGTAACTCCCTTTTCAGTTTTAATAGCCAGTGGAAATGTAGAACTTTCTAAGTAAAGGGCCAGTAAAAACTAAGGTCTGCACAGTGAGGATGATATCAACCTACTGCGAAGGGTGTCGATATTACTAGAAAAAAACTGTATGTGAAAGCATTTATTAACAAGAATCGCTATATAAAACTGTTCAGATAACCATCATGAAAAAAATAAAAAACTCAAATTCAGAGCATCTGCTACAAAGTGTTCTCAACAAAAACTGTTTAACTTGAACCTAAATCAAGTCTTCAGAATCAACTTCTAGTTCATGGAAATACAGGGGGTAGAGGAACAAGTTAAATGACACCAGGAGCAAAGCAACAAAACATATCCAGAAAGGGACATTGTACAAGACAACTGGCCTGGTTTCTTTAGAAAGTCAACGTCATGAAAGAGAAAAGAAATTGTTTGAAAGTAAGGACTTTTCTGTATAAAAGAAACCAAAAAGATGTAGCAACCAAATGCCATGTCTGAGCCTTGACTGGTGTGTGTGGTGGTGCACTTGATGGGAGAGGGGGAAGAGCTATAAGAGACATTGTACCAATTAGGGAAATTAAAGTATGGAATATTTTCCAGATACTAAGAAACTTTTTTTGTAGAAGATATATGAGAGTATGTGTATTTTTATTTAGTAGGACATATACTTCTATATGTGTAAGAGATATATATTTATATATATATATAGGAGAGATATATTTATAGATCTACCTGTATTATAGAGAGAGCCACACAAGTTATCTCCTACAAAACGACAACAAAAAGCCCAGAGCTCTGAGTATAGTATTATGCCCCCAAGAACACTAAATAATTAGAGTAATGAATAAATGGTTACCAGTATTTCAAAATTATCATTTTTCATTACTGTAAGTCAAATTTCAAATCTCAAATTTCCATGTGACCTTTTATTCTATAATTGGCAGAAACACTGCTGTATTACCCTTCAACAATATCTCTAATGAAAATCTGGACCAGTGCTGTCCAGAAGAACATTATCCAATAATGTTCTACAGTTGCACCATTCATTATAGTAGCCACTAGCTATATATGACTAGTGAGCACTTAAATGTGACTAAGAAACTGAATTTATAATTTTATTTATGTTTAATTAATTTAAATAGCCACATGTGGCTAGTGGTTACGATACAGAGCAACGGAAATCTAATAATTCTGAGTAACATTTTACTATCTAGTATGGTCAAGGAATAAAGTGAATTTTTCAAAAGTTTACTCCCATTTTCCTACTATCAACTGAAATGCTTTAATTCTAGGTATTATATTCATCTATCAAACAGTCCTTTCTAATTTATTGTATCTGAGCTCCTATGGACTAGAGAACCAAATATCCATGTTATTTCCACTATGTCGGGCTTAAGACAAAATAAGCTGAGTGAAACACCCATTAGGATGGCTATCATCAACAAAACAGAAAATAAAAAGTGTTGATGAGACTGTAGAGAAATTAAAACCTTGAGCATTGTAGATAAGAATATGAAATTATGAAAACAGTACAGTGGTTTCTCAAAATATTAAACATAGAATGATCATTTGATCCAGCAATTCCATTTCTGGGTACATACCCAAAAGAACTGAAAGTAGTGACTCAAATAAATACAGGCATACCTCAAAGATACTGCAGGTTTGGTTTCCCACCACCGCAGGAAAGCAATTATCTCAAGAAAGCAAATACAGCAATAAAGTGAGGGACAGGAATTTTTTTGGTTTCCCAGTGGATATAAAAGTTATGTTTTTAATTACACTGTAGTCTATTAAGTGTGTAACAGCATTATGTCTTTAAAAATAATGTAAATACCTTAATTAAAAACTACTTTATTGCTAAAAAATGCTAACTATCATCTGAGCCTTCAGCAAGTTATAATCCTTTTTGCTGGCTGGAGGATCTTGCCTTAATGTTGATGAAAATGCAGTTATCTATGAAGTGCAATAAAGCAAAGTGCAATAAAACAAGGTATGCCTGTATTTGTACATCAATGCTAACAGCATTATTCACGATATCCAAAAGGTGAAAACGACTAAAATATTCATCAAAATGTGACGTATGCAAAAACGTAGTATTATTCAGCCTTTAAAAAATTTAAATTCTGATACTTTCTACAACATGTATGGATGAGTCCTGAAAACATTATGCTAAGTGGGCTTGTCATAAATGGACAAATATTATATGATTCCACTTTTATGAGGCATTTAAAATAATCAAATTCAGAGATAGATAGAACAGTTGTTACCAAGGACTGGGGTAAGGAAAAAATGGGGAGTTATTGTTTAATGGGTACAGAGTTTCACTTTGGGATGATGAAAAAAGTCGAGAGATGGACAGTGGTGATAGTTACACAATGTGAATGCACATAATGCCACTGAACTGTACACTTAAAAATGGTAAATTTTATGTTACGTATATATTTTATCACATTAAGAAAAATAAGCTGAGAGAGTCTAGGGGAACTTAAATGAATAAAGTGCATTGTATTAAATATGTGGGTTTTATAATACCTATTTCAGTCATTTAGATATCTTTGTTTCATACTGGGGTCAGGATAACTAATATTGCCAAATAATACAAAACTTAAAAAAAATTAGCATTTTTTAACTACTAAAAAAAACTAAAACCATTTGCAAAAGTACTAAAATTATATCTGTTAATACATGTAGAGTGTGGTGACATTTTTGATATGACCGTCGTTATCACTTTCCTTTAAAGAGAAAAATACACCTACGCACACAATCTTTAATCTTGACCAATATCTTGACTAATATTCCATAGTTTATACCTTTTACTTCATTTGTCTACTATACTTTTCCACATTTAGGGTGACTAAAGACTATAGAAATGAGCAACATAATACTTCTTCAGAAATAATTTCTCCATTACAATTTCTTCAGTTGCATCAGTAAAGATTTTTCAAGGTGCACCTAATCAAAAAGGGCACCTCCTAGAAAAATTGCACTCACAGAATGAACTTTTCTTATGAGTCCAAAGTGTTTATATTTTATATTTCAAGTGCTATCAGCAGTCCTTGTTCTTTATAGTTAATCTACATTTTATATGTCAAAAGAGAATTCTATCAATGATTGTAACTAAAGATTTAGCAATATATATATATGTGTATATATATATAAAAAAATATATATATATACACACACACACATATATATATATACACATATATCTCATTGTGACAAGTGTTTCCACAAAATAACCTTCTAGGATTCCAAATATTACTTTCTAATTTAGATTTTTCTAAACTTAAAAGTATAACATTGTTTCCTAAGACAGCCAACCTAAAATAAAACAGAAATTAGCACACAAATATAAATCGAAGAGAAGACAAAAACAAACATGGTAAATCCTAATATAATTCCAATCTCTATTTCCTGGAAATCTATTTAACATGCCGAAGTCTTAAAATCTAAGCTATTCTCAAAAGACCAACTACATGAAAATGAAAAATAAATTTTACTTTGAACAATTAAGACAGTCGATGAATACTAATAGAGTGAAGATGTTATGGAAGAGGAATAAAAGAATTAAACAATGAGATATGATAACACAATAATGTCTTTGAGAGATGGAGAAAACTGAAGGAAAAAATTATGTAAGAGCTAAAGTTTTCCAATTTAAAACATCTAAAAAGATAGATTTTATTAAAATTTAATGGTTATATTTTAAGGTACTACAGGAACTTAAGCACACATTTAACTTTCTATTACTAAACACGTATTCAAAAAGATGAAAATTAAATTAACTTCATTTGTCTACCATACTTTTCCACATTTAGGGTGACTCAAAACTATAGAAATAAGCAACATAATACTTCTTCAGAAACTTAATTTAGAAAATTAATTTCAGAAAATTAATTTCATTGTGTATCTCTTTGATACACAATGA